ATCCGAGGGAATTTTTTTGATAGTTGATTTTTCTTGTTTCAGAGACGCTGTGAAGGGGGGGGGGGGGGAGCGGTGTCGTATTTGCCTTGTGGCTTCTGAGAGATAAGTGTAAGTGTCCATGTTGTTGACTTTTCGTGGTTTCTCTTGTTTCATATGTAGTATTTCTGAAAGAACTGGTGGGAAGTAGGGAAAATCGAACCAAGAGGTAGGTAGGATAAGGAAGGGAGGGGGAGGGGAGGTTGTACTTATCCCTTTCGCGTTTTTTTCCCGCTGCGCCATATACCCCCCCCCCCCGCGCGAGAGCTCCATGTGAAGGGAACTGAGGAGGGGGTCGTATCAAGCCGCCCTTCAGGGACGGGGGAGTCGCACGGACCCTACCAAAATTCTTACTAGTGATATGCTCTAGATCCTGTGCCTACTCTGGCACCGGTGACTAGCCTTATGAATTAGCTCCTATTTACAGGGAGAAATGAAATAGTATTGGAACAGGGGGTCAGCTGATCCGAAATGGCAGGAGTAATCTCCGAAAGAAACTTCATATAAGAGTTCGTCCACTTGAATGAGCTGTGTAAAGGAGTCATTTGACGTTTGCACATCGTTCGCGAAAATTCGATGCACAACATGCTAGGCATGTTACAGCAGTCAATTTTTTTAGTTGAGCAAGAAATGCTGTTTTGACACTTCTGAAAGCTAGTTCAGCTGCTGTTTTGACTGATCCCTTAGGGAAAGTCAGAGCTATGCTTGATCCAGAAAAATCCAACGGATGGGAAAATGTGGTTTCATCCAATCTGGTTATTACAGTAGGTCCAAAGGTAAACAAAAGAATCAGTCGAGAAAAAAAATCGGATCCATCGACGAGCACGAAAACATGTGGAAATATCTCAGCTGCTGTGTACATTCTGTAATCACCTTGAGGGTTCGTCATAAATAGGAACTATGGCTTGTGCGAGAGTGCGGTACGTTAGCTGCGTTTATACTTTGCGGCAATGTCCACCAGACCAATAGCGTTCACCAGCTGGTACCCTTCTGTCGCCTACCAGCTGCGGTCGCTGGTGGACGCTGGTTGACGCTGGCATACGCTAGATCGATATCTATACTTTCCTAGTCGCTGACGCTGCCGGACGCTCGGAACGCTGGTGGACGCTATTGGTCGGTGGTGGACGCTGCCGCAAAGAATGAATGCAGCCTGACACGCATTCAAGTGACAAAAGTGGCGCACCCGATGCGGCTGCCGACCTGTTCTCTCAATACTAGGAAAGGATTCCATCTATCAAGTAATCCCGAGTTGTGGCTTTGCAGTATGGCATATCCCGTTAGTAACAATTTCAGCCCTCACCTCTGTTCTTCCAGTGAGGAATCCATAATTGGTTATTCCAGCATTTCACCCCAGATTTGGCCCTCAGCCACTGCCCGACCTCTGCTCACAGGTGCCCTGAGCTGCACCATCCTGTTGTAATATGTTTATGCATCAAAACCTTGTTACAAAGGTGGAAGGAACAACAGGTACGGCCAGGGCGCTCGGGAGTGGATCCCAAACGGCCACGGTCATCAAGGAGCACCCTGCTAAGACACGAAACTCCTCGTGTCTGCGTACTTCTCGGCGTCCGCCCAAATGTGTAGTACGGGCTCTTCCTTGTATCTCTAAAAAGCCAACGCAACGAGTCCGTAACCTGAGTTTTTGTGAGTCACCTCAAGGGCTGACCTTATTACCGAGGTTTGCCTTAGGAAGAGGTGAAACAGACCACCACGTTTTTGATGTATCTACAGGATTTGTTCTTCACTGGAATTCCATTGCTGAGATTCTGGATACGGATCTGAGACAAACCATTAAACTGCGTATCCCAGCGATGGAGTGGGCGTGGCTGCGCATCCCAACTGAACAGCGCGTACATACGTTGTTCGTGGGATCTTTCTACTTCATTCGAGTCTTGTCCTTCCTTGTACTGGACAAAGTCATTGTTACAACTGTTTCGGATTGGAACTGCAACGTTCCTCCAGAAGCGCAGCTACCGTCATGTTTCAATGACGTACGCAGCCATGTAGGCTCCATCTCTGGGGTATGGAGTGTACGACTAACACATCAATGAATGTAACAGTCTGTCGAAAACTGGTAACTACCACCGGACCAGGTGAAAAGCACCATAATGCTTGATCAAATTACCTTTCATTGTAAAATGTAATTATAGGGTCAGTGCACGAAAATGTTCCAGGGAACTAAAGTTTCCCAAGGTGATTGTGAACATTCGGGGAAAGGAATCCATCCTTTTATCGAAACCTACTAAACAGCAGAATTTCACCCGAAACGGGGAAGTTGATAGAACAAGGACTCCTAGCAACGGAGGCAATGCAAGCTTCAACGTATAGAATAGTCTGTTGCCAAGGGTTACGAAGGCTAGCGAAATACTGAACCGTTTCTTTGTCGATTTTGCCATGCCTGAGAGAGGTTAGTTTTATTTTTATCACGTATTCATGGGGATAAAGAGCATCTATTCATTTTGTATCTTCTCCATCTGGTTAGCCCCGTAAAAGAAGTTTTCGGTAGAAATCACTGATTCATTGAAAATCATTCTCCTACTGTTCAGATATAAAACAAGATGAGCCCACATTTCCGTGCAAAATTTGTGGACGAAGGTTCATTCAGAGTAGCTTGGTGAGTTGACTACGTCTATTGCTTTGGCATAATACAGTATATAATTAGTTATGCTCTTGAACAAACCGTTGCTAGCATGCGTGATGAAGTCGCGATAAATAATTTATGAGCAAATTATTTAGAAATGGACACGCTTTTTTGCCCACTGTAGCGTTTATTTGCCAATGTTGCGAAAGTTCAAATCTATTGGGAGGTCACAATGTGTGAAAACGGTCCAAATATACACAGTGCACATCATCGTTGGAGATTCCCCAACAGGCGGTGGAGGGGTATTAGTTTGTTGTTGGAGGGAAGGGGGTCGTATTTGAGTGAAAAAATTTTTTTATCGTGGATTTTTCCTGTTACATGGGCGTTAAGGGGGAGGGAGGGTCATATTCACTCGTTGTTAGGAGAGGTGGGGAGCGGGAAGGTCGTTTTCGCCTTCTGAGAGAAATTCGCGGCGTTGGGGAAAATGTTCCTCAGTTGTTGATGTTCGCGGTTTTTCCTGTTTCACAAGTGCTATATGCTTCGCTCTACAGCAAAACTTCGGGGCAGGGGACATCGTTGTTAGGGAATCCCCAACAGGGGTCGTATTTGGCCTCCAGGAGAAGGCGGTGGGGATGTTTATCGGCATGAGAAGAATTTATTCCGATAGGTGATTTTTCTCGCTTCACGCGTTGTAGGGGGGGGGTCGTACTTGCTCATTGTTGGGAGGGGGGGGTCGTATTTACTTTCTGGCCTTTCTAGGAGTGGTGGGAGTGGTGGTTGACTTTTCGTGATTTTCCTGTTTCATGCGTACTATATACCCCCTCCCCCTCCCGCTCGACAGCAAAATTTTTGGGAAAAAGTAGGGAAGTTTTCGGGAAATTTGGAAAAGTTGGTAGGAAGTTGGGGAAAATCTGAGAATGGGTAGAAGGGGAGGGGGGGGTCGTATTGTCACGCGGCTTTTTCTGTTTCACATGTGCTATTTACTCATCCCCCCCCCCACCCCGCTCGGCGGCTCGATGCTCGGTTCGATGAGGAGGGACAGAGGGTCCGGAGAGGGGGGGTATACCAGCCCAACAAAAAAAGGGGGGGGGGCTGGGGTTGTAGAGACTCGACCAAAATCCCCAACCGATGATATGCCCTGCTTTGGGGAAAAGTAGAAAATTTTCGAGGAAATTATCGAAAACCGTAGAGGGCACAAGTTTGATCGTATCAGAAGGGGAACGAGGATAAGGGGGGGGTCGTATCAAGTCACCTTTGAGTGGGATGCGCACGAGCTCAACCGAAATCCCCTGTAATTATGTGCCGTGAATTCACATGTTTCCTCGCCGTAATCAGTAATTGAGGCAAAATTGATGTGTTTCCTGTGATGCGTGATTCCTGCAATGGATGGAACTCGTATTCTTGCTGTGAAAACGAGCTCCCTGAGAAGTGGTTGACGTTGTTGATCTCCAAGCTATTTGAGTTGCGCTATACCCCCTCCTCCCATCAGTTAGTCGAAAATTCTCCCCTTCCGTTATGGCATGTCCTGACGTCTTGCATCCAACAAGTGCCTTCTTTGGTCAGCCTGAGAAATTTCGCAGGACATCTGAAACTAGTACTCGGAGCATTTTCCGAATTTCGTGACATGAGGTGTATATGACTATTGCTTGCTTTCCCCTATAGTATCAAGTAGTTAAGCGTCGTAAACAAAAATGTCAAAGCAAGCTCCCGTTGGAACTCTTTTGATCGGTTGAAGACAGTTCTTCGATCAAGTATCAGGGATGGTTGCATATCAACCAGTAGCTGATAAGTGATTCGGAGAAAAAAGCAAAAAGAATCTTCAAGAACACCATGAACGAAACCGTCCCCTGACAGTCACACCACGCTCAGCAGTTATGCACAGCGGGCCGAACTTGAATCGTCTGGAGAGAGGGGATGATGGAACTGTAGGGGTTCTCACTCAGCAGAGCACTCTTATGATCCGTTGTCATAGGAAACCAGGGCCAGCGATGCACATTATCGAAAAAAAAATAACTTGGCGCAAGCTGGAAATGGCATTTTCATCCGCTTTCACTTATTCGTACTCCTATCAACCACACTATTAGGAACAGTAGCTAAGCTCATCCTGTCTTGCACTGGAATAGAAACATTACGATTATCAAAACGATATACCACCAAAAGTGTAGCGACGGCCACGTTCATACTCTGTATTGGCAGCGCCCTCCTCACCTCCGGGATAATTATTTATTTACATAATCGGAATATGGAGTGTGTCTATTGATATAGGAGACTAGCGCCCGGTTCGATTTAAAAAGGTCATCACGGGAAGTGTTGCCTTTGAAAGCACATTTCATAAAAACCTGCTGGAAAACTTCTCAGGTAGGAGAGGTTAACAAACAGAAGTATGTGCGTTAGTTGATTAATTTATAAACAGACAAGTATAAGAAACCGTGCGAAGTGACCCAATGAGGACCTCTTTGTTAGGGATGGAAGGCCAAGTTTGGGGATTCAGGAGAAGAGGCTGAAGAAGGGTCGCGATAGAGCACACAGGAGGGCAAGGCGATAGATAGCGTCGACCGACATTGGTCTCCGGGGCAATCATCGTTGGGGATTGCGAGTCGTATCGGTCGCTGGGGAGGGGGTGGTCGTTTTGGTCAAATTTTTTTGGATAGTTGTTTTTTTCTTTGTTGTTCATGGACGCTTATAGGTGTATTCTGGCTCGTCGCTGGAAGATGGAGTGAGGTCACGTTTGCCTTCTGAGAGAAATTAGCGCCGTTGAGAAAATAGTTTACCTTTTTTTCGCGGTTTTCCTGTGCTATATACCCCCCCCCCACTGAACACCTCGATCGGTCGTATCAGGCGCGGGAACCAGGGAAAGGTCGTATGAAGGCCAGCTTGGGGGGGGGGGGGGGGTGGATGTCTTACGTTACGAAATCGACAGCGATCCATACTAAATCTTCTCACAGCGCAAATATGTACATAGGTGTTGGCGGATTACACCTTTCGACACTACTGTACTTGGATTGTGTTAGACATTTTAAATGTTTAAGCAGTACTTCAGAAACTATAGACCTATTATGTGTTGCAGTAAGTTTGAACATTTCAGGTAAAACATGAGCCAGCTTGCAAGAAGCTGAGTAAACTCAACAGAAAACCATTTGATTCTGGAAAGCAGCGAGCAACTGGAAGTGACATTACGTATGCCGACGTAAAACGAGCTCAGAAAGAACGAGAAAAGGTGTGCTCGTGAAGTAAAGTTTTTTTTCTTTCAAAATATATAAATATAATGGGGAGGTCTCTCGTATGAGGTCCACTAGTCGGTACAAACTGAGCAATGAGAGATGAAAGGTTTAAAACTGGGAGGGAAGGAAGGGACAGTCGGACAGTCATGGGACAGTCTGAAACTCTTCAGAAAAATGCGCTTCTATTGAAGGGGGAAATTTTCGTAGACGCTCATGCTTTCGGACAGCCCTGTACTTTGCAAGTTTGCGGCAGTGCTGCGACTCAGGATTAACAATAGATACCCATGAGGAATAATGTGAGCCACACCGTTTTGTGCTATGCAGCTTCTCAGCTCTCTTGTGAAAGACCAAAAAAGTCCTCACTCTACGTAGACCTCAGTCTCAACTTCAGGATGTTTAGTTTATCAAGTCGCTGGCTTCCATTACAAAAAAGTCTGCAAATATTCCTTGAC